TAGTCTCACTTAAATAAATATATATATATATATATATATATATATATACGTATACTTAAATTTATATATATATATATATATATATATATATATACATATGTATGTATGTATATACGTATCTACGGTTATAGACAAGAAAAAAAAGTTATAAATCATGTTTCATGCAACAGGAAAATCCTAAAAAGCAGCTACTGGGAAAATGTAAGGCTTAGCAGTGAGTGGCAACTCCAGGAAATACTATTCAGAAATAGACGGACAAAATTTCAAACCGAAATATACCGAATGAGAGAGAGAGTAGAGAGAGAGAGACTAGAGAGAGAGAGAGAGAGAGAGAGAGAAAGGGAGAGGGACGCGCGAGAGAAAATTGTATATTCACAGATAAACGGATGGTCGGAGACACGGTTGGCTGGTCGGTGTAATTAAGACACATTTGAAAGACGTATAATCAAAGGATTTTAAATTGCAAACGAAAAGAATTGCGAAAAGTTTAAAAAACGGATCCACCTAGATGGAAGAAAGTCTTGAAAAAAAGAAATAGCGGCAGCAGATTTTATTTGGACACGAAAATAGGCGGGGGGGAGAATCACGTTGAATTTAAAATGGATCGATAAATTGACGATGTAATCGGTGGGGATTGATAAAAAAAAAAAAGACAAAAGAAAAACGAAAGAAATGCAAAAAAGTTAATTGCATTTTTCAAAGCGAGAGAAAAACGGATTAAAAAAATAAATAAAAGAGCAACAAAAAAAAAAAAAAATTTAAAAAATAAAACGATCCCAAAAAAAAGAAAGAATTTAAAAGTCGAATCGTCACTAAAAAGGCTATGTGGAAATGCCGAGGAAGAAATAGTTTAAAATAAAAACACGGAAAATTTTTTTATATCAACAAGAAATTGGTTTTTCCAAAGATGCAAGTAACACTCTGCTAGGAAGAGATATAGAGAAAAAACAGTCGGATTGTTGATGAGGGAGTTTACCATGTAGCAATCTGAATAGGAGAACAGGAAAGAGAAAACGAGATATATAGAGAGAGAGACTCTCATCATTTGAGAGCTTTTTTTTTTTTTCGTTTGTCTCATTTGTCTAAATATTTACGCTCCCTGGCCTTCTTTATTCCCTAAAAAAAAAAAAAAAAAAAAAAAAAAAAAAAAACAACTGATTGCTTACCCTTCCTCTTCGATATCCTTTTCTTTTTCTCTTACCTTTAACAACAACAATAACAACAAAAAAAAAGGGAGTCGAAAATTGAATCGCGATTGATAAAAAAAAAATAAGAAAAAAAAAGACGATCCCACCTTCACTGCCGCCATCGAAAATGTCCGTCTTCTTTACCTGACCATATTATCAAAATCGACACCCCTGCGTCTCCTGGGCTGAGGCACGCTTACATACACACAAACGCACACGCATACAGATAAAAGATAAATAAAAAAAAACAAAACATACATAATTTATACTAGCCTTACACACATTGGTTTTGAGCAACAGCACCACCACCATCATCGTTATCATCATCATCATTATTAACGTCATCATCATTATTTACATGGTCGTCACTACCACCACCTCCACCGCAGCCGCCGCCGCCGTCGTCGTCATCACTAAATTCATTATCATCTTCAGTAAAATCATCGTCACTTAACATTATTGTCACTGCTGCTACTGTCAGCATGGTCATCATTACAGGTTTGGACAAAAATTCACTGACAATATTCGATCGGGTGAGTAGGATTTTCGGTTGATTTTTTAAGGAATTCTTTGAAGGTTTTTCTCATTTCTTCTTCTTCTTCTTCTTCTTCTTCTTCTTCTTCTTCTTCTTCTTCTTCTTCTTCTTCTTCTTTCCGTTCCTAGTTCTTTCGACATCAAAAGCTGCCCTCAGACCGGAATGCAAAAGCAGGATTTCGTGACAGGCAGCCATGTCACTTCTTACCATCCGACACATTGGCGCTAGAGAGTCTTCTGAAAATATAAAAACCCATCAAGATAATGAATTAAATTTGGCAGTGTCAAATAAACACTTTATGAATTTATATGAATTTCAATGTATATATACAGACATTTTCATTCTTCAATATATGTGTGTGTGTATGCGTGCATGTGCGCGTGCATATATAAGAGAGTAATAATTTGTCACAATGCGTATATATATATATATATATATATATATATATATATATATATATATATATATATATATATATATATATATATATATATATATATATATATATATATAAATGTGTAGGTGAGTGTTTTCATAGTAATGCAAATAAGATGCCTATAATTATTCAATTGGAATGAATAAGTACTAATGCAAACAACACGCATACGCGCGTGTGTATGTGCGTGTGCACTTGTATGATCTTTTAATAAAAGCTGCTTCAAATGAAAAGCCACTAACAATATATATATATATATATATATATATATATATATATATAGTACACACTCTCAGACACGCATTTAGATATAGATTACTTGCACGCCTACTCCTTGTAAACCATTCTGTTTTTTTAATTTTTCATCTTTTAGATCGAAAACATATAGACATTCCATATATATATATATATATATATATATATATAAACATACATATGTGTGCATATATATATATATATATATATATATATATATTATTTTTCATTATTTTAAAATATATTTGTATAATAACATGTAAAATTTACATATCTGTAAATGTACATATATATACATACATATAAATTATATGTAAATATATACATAAATCTCCTTATGTGTCGCTGTCTGTTTATATATATATATATATATATATATATATATATATATATATATAAATATATATATAAAATATATATAAATATATATATATATATATATTTATATATATATATATATATATATATATATATAGATAGATATATAGATATATATAGATAGAGAGAGAGAGAGAGAATAATTCTTTTTGAAAATGAAGCCAAGTACATAGAAGTATAGATTGTGATTATATTACTTCTAGTTGAGGATTTGATAAATATTTAGATCCATAGAAAATGCCCGTCTCTCCTTCTCCATATTCTTTTTACCTCACACCTCCACATTTGATATATTTTTTCACTATATATGCACTCATTCACACACACGCATATACATATTTACGAGGGATATATATATGTGTGTGTGTGTGCGTGTGTGTATGTATGCATTTATATGTATATATATATATATATATATATATATATATATATATATATATAGAGAGAGAGAGAGAGAGAGAGAGATATGAACAGGATGAGATAGATAGATAAGATGAATAGATGAATAGATAGATAGATATCAGTTTGTGGGATATAAATATAATAATTATATAGGTAAATAGATGAGTAGTATTGGAAATGCGTATTTGTAATTATCATGAGAAACGTTTCTTGGAATATATACACCTGCAACCCGCTGACATCGTCTCTGGAAAAATTATAGCCAGTTGTTTAGAATGAGTGTGTGCGTGTATGCGTGTGCGCACGCGTGTGTCTGTGTTTTCGTGTGTGTTTTTGTGTGTGTGTATGTGCGCCTGTATGTGTGTCTGTGTGTGTGTACAATTTTAGCGACCGATTGCTCTTCCGTATGCTTGGACGACTATCAATTAATTATGTATGTTTATATGAAGGTGTGCACCCGAAAGATTGAGTGAGAGAGTGTAATAGAGAGAGACAGAGAGAGGGAGAAAGAGAGAGAGAGTCAGTGAGAAGCAGAGAAAGAAAGAGAGACAGAGGAAGAGGACAGATATAAAAGAAAAGAAAAGGAGAGAGAGAGAGAGATTTCAATCACAATTTTCACATTTATTAGCCTAAAAATATTTTCTCGAAATCTGTCTGTCCACATCTTCGATTCTTAGCATTTCAAATTGAGTGTGTGTGTGTGTGTGTGTGTGTAACCAGCGAGGGGAGAAAGAGAGAAATAGGGAAACAGACAGAGAGAGAGAGGGAGAGAGACGAATAATGGAAAGCATACACATTTGGACATGGCTAAAGTCGCAGTGTTTCTTTTTTTATTTTTTTTTTTTGGCATGCAGACATGAGCAACACGCAAACACACAGTTGGTCTGTCTTTATAGCTATACAACCCATCTTCCTTTATCTATCTATCTATCTATCTATCTATCTATCTATCTGGTTATCATTCTGTTCATATCTATCTATCTATCTATCTATCTATCTATCTATCTATCTATCTATCTATCTATCTATCTGAGTTGTACATCTATATGCAGGTACATTAGTAAGGAAACACCACCCATTTACATAATATAAAATAAACGAGTCGCCACCTGAAATAGGCCAGCATACGTAGCCTATGTATATGCAGTGAAAGGACTTAATTATCTGTTGGCATTTCTTCTGTGAAAACGTTCTCCTCACACAAACACCAAATCGAATATAACTAATTTTGAAAGGGAGGAAAAATGACAATAATAATAATAATAATAATAATAATAATGCAATTCTCCCAAGCCAACCAAATTATTTCAATCTGTTGTGCTTATGAATATAAATGACTATGAGACTGGGAAGAAAAAGATGGATAATGAAAACGCCAATAAATAAAAAAGTCTACTGATTATCATGAAAAAGATAAATAATTCAGAATCCTGCTTCCTTATGGGCGTGTGTCTGTCTAAATGACACTTCATTTATACAACACATTATCGAAAAAACTTTAATATTACATTATAAACGTAACAATTATTCAACTAGTGCATATTTATACTTAACATGTTGGGTATAGATGTGTGCCTGAAAATATATACATATATGTCATATAGTTTTATAAAATTAACTAACTATACTCATGCATATGACTTCATATATATATATATATATATATATATATATATATATATATATATATATATATATATATATATATATATATATATATATATAATTATTGAAAAATTATAACATACATCATATAATGATGTTATAACATGTTTATGCTATAATTTTTCAATAAATAATATTTGGTCTAGACTGTATTGAGCACTCTTTTAAGAATAGTGTTTTTGGTTATTGAAATTATTCTACACTTTTTCCTATACTTATATATATATATATATATATATATATATATATATATATATATATATATATATATATATATATATATATAAAAACACAATGACAGAGAGAGAGTTGAGTGATAGAGAGATAATTAGTAGATATTATCTATAAATTCGTATATGAAAAGAATATAAATTCATAGGTGAAAAAATATACATATATGTTTGTGACTATATCTATCTATCTGTCTACATATATATATATATATATATATATATATATATATATATATAATTTTTCATAGGTGAAAAGACTATCTACATTTCTCAATTTACAGGTGTGTGTATATATATATATGTATTTGTGTATACATATATATTATTTATATATAGATATAACTATATATATTTATATATATGAATCTCGTCGTGCATATTTATAAACACTCATCTTTCTATATAGGTATATATATATATATATATATATATATATATATATATATATATTTATCTATACACATGTGGATATACATACAAATATGTAAATATATGCAAACACACACAAACATTTATATATATATATATATATATATTTTCAAAGATCCGAAATTATTTTTATAAAGTCCTCTTGTTCACGTTGAGAGCTTTTCAGGTTCTCTTCGATATAATTACACATATATCTATCCCTGTGTTCATTGGCATATAAGCATACTGATAGATCGATAGATCGATACATAAACATTTATACTCGACTGATTGATGGAGAATTCCGTTTATTTTATTTCTTTTAGGCCCCTTTTAAATCAGTAAACCAGCTTTTTTTTATTTATCTTATATTTCTATCGCTTACACACACACACACACACACACACACACACATACACACTCTCTCTCTCTCTCTCTCTCTCTCTCTCACACACACACACACACACACATACCACTCCCTTTCTCTCACACACACACACGGAAAACACACACACATACTACTCTCTCTCTCACACACACATACATACACATATCACTTTCTCTCTCTCTCTCTCTCTCACACACACACATGCACATACCACACTCTCACACACACACATACACATACCGCTCTCTCTCTCACGCACACACACACATACCACTCTCTCTCACGCACACTCACAAACACACACACATACACATACCACTCTCTCTCACAGACACACGCACACACACACACACAAAAAAACACACACGAATGTACTCACACAGTCAAGTATGAGTGTATGACGCAAATTACTATTTGTCTCAACATTTTTGTCACTTAAACTGCTGCAATTTCTCGATTTGGTAGAAAGGCGTGTTTTATCTGTTCCTCATCCATATTGTGTTTTTGTTTTGTTTTACTCAATAAAGCATTGTCTGTCTGTTAACAAACTGATCAGCCAGAATAGGAATTATCGATTTATCGAAATCTGATTACATGTTCGATTTTGTGAGCGTATATCTGCAAACACGCACAAGGACATGCAGGCATGGCCGCTTGAACGCACACACCTGGAAGCAAGCACAGTTCGTCAGGAAGAAATGTAGGCAAGGCACGACACATTACTTACCTATTTAAGTATGCAAGGCAGGATATTATGTCTACTGTGATGTGATTATGACTAAAGCTACGAAGTCACTCACTTTTCATCTTTCTTTTAATTCTGTTCATATATATATCTCTTTTTCTCTATCAGTCTACCCATATCTATCTATCTATCTATCTATCTATCTATCTATCTATCTGGTTATCTAGCTAGGTGCAGAAAAAGAAAAGAAAAAGGACGACCAAAACTTATTTCATTTTATCTACATAAAACGTTTTCTTTTTTTTTTTCTTGCATTCTTTCTTACTTTGTAGCTAAAGTAGTTGCTTGTTTTGCGCCGATGTCAGTTTTAGAATGAAGATTTTCAGCCAAGTAGGTTCGATTCCTTTTTGAGTTTGGTGCAATACACTCTTTCTACTCACACCAGACTCAATATATAGATGTATATATTACTATTAGTGTAGAGTTTGCTTAGTGACAAAGATCTTTGCCTTTGGCTTTGAAACCCAGAGAGTCTGAAAATGTTAGTTACTTTCGCTTGGAAATTTTGTACGATTTACTACATAAGTAAAAAATGCTACAACTATTTGATTGATCTATCTATCTATCTATCTATCTATCTATCTATCTATCTATCTATCTATCTATCTATCTATCTATTTGTTCTGCTTATATATATATATATATATATATATATATATATATCAGTCTATCAAAATCTTTCTGTATCTATCGAAGGCTGTTCGTATCTGTCTATCTATCTATCTATCTAGCTAGCTAGCTCAGTCTGTTTATATCTATCTATCTATTTCAATCTGCTCATTATCTATCTATCTATCTATCTATTTCAGTCTGTTCATATCTATCTATCTATCTATCTATCTATCTATCTATCTATCTATCTATCTCGGTAGCTAGCTAGTTAGCTAGATACGTTGTAATATGTTTGTGAGCTTTTATGTGTGCTACCATATGGAGGCAGCGTGTGTATCCTGCAGACACTATTTTGGCCTCTCTTGTTACCGATGTGTCTTAATTCACACCATGATCCCACTGCGATTACAGATCCTGATCCTTCTGACAGTGACTGTTTCAGTTGCATTACCCTACCGAGAGAAAACCCACCCTGTTCATCTAATGCATACGCGGCCGCCCTTCCTTTATAGCTTTATCGAAACAGAGAAACTGAGAAATATACTTTATTTTCGTCAATAAAACGTAATCCGTGCCCAAATATGGAGGCACGGATGGGTATTCAAATCGTGAATAATTATACTACTACTTAAATATCGCAGATTTTACAAGTAGCAACACTGACCACAAGTAGCGTGATATGTGAAAAACTAGATGCATGCTGATAGGCTCGAACTTGCATCAGCAGTTTAAAGAACATTATAAAAAAATATGCCAAGCGATGACGTGGGGTCTGGACTTGGCATATTTTTTATGATTTTCTTATATCTATTAGTTTTGCTCACAAAAAAGCAAAGTGAAAATAAAAATAAAAAAATGCATAAAAATAACGCCATATTTTTTCGAATGGCATTAATAATATTTTGAATGTCATTTTCTCTATTTTTCTATTCTGATCGCAGAATTAAGGTTATGGTTAAAGAGATTGGGTTCCTTATTAATGTTATGGTTAAAGAGTTCTAGTTGCCAGTGGCAGGAAATATAGAAAAACAGCATTTTGCACGGATAATCGTATCACCCTTCAGCCAAACGTTTAAGAAACACATACACACACACAAACGTGTGTGCGTGTGTCGATGCAATTGAAAGTATAGAATAGGCAGCATGTTTATATTTTGCGTCCCTATTATTTGTGTCCCTATTATTTGTGTCCCTATTATTTGTGTCCCTATTATTTCATCACAGTTTCACCCAAATACTTTTGAGAAAGTCATGAAGCCAAAAGTTCATTGCTTTTTTCTGTTTTACTGCCAGACATGAGTTCAATTTTTTTTTATTTTTTTGTGTGTGTGTGTGTTGCCGGCAAGCCACAAACAAATACCTGAACGGTGTTATTAAACGTCTCATGATCTACTTGCACACGTAAACAATCCCCTCCCCTCATCGCCGCCGGAGTAGACTAATTTTACCTCAGCTTCCTAAATGAACTCTGACGATGACAACCACTTTTGATAATTTTTCTTATTTGCGAGCGCGGCAAATATAGCTAATTCCTTATTATAGGATCCTGCATATATTAAAATGTCCTTGATCCGTAATCCAGTTGACGCAGAAAATCATTTCTTAAATATTTATTTAGTATTTTCAAAAAAAAAAAAAAACTCTACTTAATTCCTAACTCCAATGTTCATGCTAGTTGTCCATTTTCTTTTCTTTTAAAGACAATCGGAACATTCACGCATACTCGTCTGCAAACATGGCCATTTTGAAAGGGCCACCAAACCAACATCTCTGTTTATTTAAACTAAAGTCAGTAAAATAACGGATTTTCCTAAAAAGAAAACTGTACCATAAGCTGAATACATAAAGAGTTAGTAAAGCTATAAAATGTCTAATTCATTAATCTTAAACCAAAGTTATATTTATGTTCGTAAACCAGAAAATTATCTCAGAATTTTTAAAAATCACACACTAAATAAATGAAATTCAACAACTCGCTTTGTTATCCTAACAAAAGGGTAGAAATTAATTTATAGACAGGTAAATTGTTTCTTTTTTTTTCTTTTTTTTTTTTGTTCCTAACCCTTAAGACATCTTCGTTATTTTTCGTTCACTTATATTAGTTGAATTTAATGAACGCTGCGCCTGGGTTGACCGAGGCAAAGGACCGTAGCTTTAGCATTTGCCAGTAATAAAGAAGAAAATTCTCCAGAAAAGGCAAAGATGTAGAAATGATTCTGTGTGAAAGAAGTGTCCGTGTCACTCTCACTTGTCATACACTTTATGCTATAGAAGCGAAAAGCTTGACAACAATGAGAAGAGGGAATGAGAAAGGACATTACTACCACGACCAACATCCTTATTTACTATTGTTACCTTTACAACCGCCATCGCTTAGACGGCTACACTAACTAAAACCAACAAGTTCTAAGGCTACTACGACTAATGATTCCACTCCCCAACGCGTACACAATGTCTAAACCAAAATTACTACTACTATTACTACTATTGCTACTACATCAAAATGAATGTTTTTACGGTTTTCCTTATGACTACTTCCGTTATGGCTTCTTAGGCAAACCTGGCTACAATATTTAGGTACAATGTTGAATATTGAGGTTTTTATGCTTTTTAAAATTCTATCTTTTGTTCAATCTTTGTAGATAGTAACCTATCATTTAGAAAAAAAAGCAATTCTGGAATAAAATCAGCTTCAGTACTCTTGAAAGGAGTGATACTACTTGTCTGAATGAGAGCGTTGTATGTTTCTCTCCAGGGTGGAGACTGATAAGCAAAATTAAAAAGTTGCATTTCAAAACCTGTTTTCAAGTAGGTAGGTCGTTGTCATTAGTTGGAAGCTTGTTGCTTCACAATCTTTTTAACCCACTTATTATTATTATTATTATTATTATTATTATTATTATTATTATTATTATTATTCTAATATGGAAAACACAATATTCCTAGAGTAAATTGTAAAATCCACGGTATCTGCGTGGAATATCTATTTAACGGAGTAACAGCTTGTAGAGCAATTGAAACTATCTATTACAACTAATGCCACTGAAACCACTCTGTTATTAGTGCTAGCGATAAAACACTTATAAATATATCTAATCTAACAAAGCTGTCATTAGTGGCTTTAGCGTTTCTTTAAAAGCCTATCGTTAAGACAAACATATGGATAAATGATAATGTATATTGCCAACATGACAACTTCCGCTAGGATGCTTTTAAAGTGGTTAACAAACAAACCTTTCGTCTAACAATAAATACAAATATATATATATATATATTTATATATATATATATATATATATATATATATATATATATATATATGAATAAACTGCCAAGTAAAGGTTTTTAACCCGCCATGACTACAATTTTAGTTAATTCAATCTATCTTTGCTTCCAATGATTTTCAGACTTAATAGTAAAAGCTACGATTGCTATTCGGTAAATCATTGGTTTTTCAAGCTAGTTAGAATTACTGTTATGAAAACAATACTGTTTTCTTGCTTCATTATTAACGTATTTTTTTTAAATTATCTATACCAGTAAATTGGACTAACATAATAGATACTTGTGGTATAGTGATGGTTAACGAGCTGGTTCAGTATTGAATAATAATTGCACCAGATTGAATTTTCTCTGGTAAAAGTGATTAAACCGGTGTGTCTAAAATTATACTGATGATAATTTGCCTCGGATTTACAAGTTAATATTTATGTAAAATCTTTACCGATCAAAAAGTTAAAGAAGAAAAATAAATCTGAAAATCAGGCTTGTAGATAATTTTTTATTAACAAACAAGCGTTTATTAAATAATACGATATTTATTACATCATATATATATATATATATATATATACAGATAGATAATATTAGTGGTCAGTATACATACATATATATATATATATATATATATATATATATATATATATATATACATATATATATATATATATATATATATATATATATAATATTTCAAGAGGGATAGAATCCAGGTAGAACTCAATGTCCAGGACAGAGCAAGAATATAATATAAAGGCTCAAACACTAATATTCCATGGTTAAAATTTATTACATTGGAATCGTAATCACCATCAATTCATCAGACCTACAAATTCAAAAAGAAATCGGAAAATATAACTCGGGTATAAAAAAAATTTAGAGAGAAAATAAGGGGTTTAAAACAGATTCATTGGAGTTGATAGGTTCACCTTTCGTCCGATTCACCCAAGAAGTCCTTTGAACAGGTGTATATATTATTCTAAAATTTAATATTCATAATTAAAATTTCTATTCCTTCTTAAATAAACACAACCCTGTTAATATAACATCTATTTAAATTAAAATATTTTTTTTTTACTAATTATCTTTCTTTTTTTTTTTAATTATCCGGTTTACATATATATATATTTTGAACAGGATAAATATTTATTCAGTTTTCTTTTAGATTAGGATTACCTATGTCCCCGTATTCCTAAAAGTCTTTTCATTCTCTTTCCACCCAGTAGCATTTGCACGATATACAGGAATTATCCTTTTGCTTGGGGTGAATGATTAAAAATAACCCGAAAATTCTATGAATTCTACGATTTTTTTGGATAACATGGAAATGCATTTCTTCTACTTTATTAAACGTCAAAATATATTTCTGCAACTCATTTACAGATTCTTTCACAATACAAGCAATAGTCAAGATCTGAAGAAAAAATATTAAATTATTAAAAAGAATGCTTTAGTGATGTTCGTCATCTAACGTTGATCGCGTCTTACTACATTCGTCTTTCTTGTATCGTTCGATCTTTTAAATCTTATCTATTATATATTACCGACTATGATATTTGCAATTTATCTGTTTTCATCTTCCATTACCCTTGAACGTATAACAAACTATTGCAGTCGTCACTGTCCAATTTCAGTCTAGCAATGTCAGATTTTATCGTTTTTACTTCTAAATCATTTATTCCCGATGTCATGTTTTTCAACTTTATATATAAATGGTAAATAAATTTTTACAATTCGAGTCGACAAATCTTTTATCTTTTTGGTGACATTTGACTTTATCTTCATCGACTAGTTTTTATCATTGTAGATTTATAAAAAAGAAGAAGACGTTGTTATAAAACAGACATATTTTCAGCTATTGTCATGGTGGTTGACTTGAAGCATTTTTATATTAGAAAGCATTATTTAAAATTTCATCGGATGCTGTTTGAGATGATATTACTATTTCAAAAACATCTTCATTTTCTCAATAATATT